TCTGGGTTCTTCATCCCCACAGAACTGCGGGAGCCCCAAGGCTCAGAGAAACTGGAGGGCAAAGTATGTGATTGATTCCCTCTAGTGGTCGGTGTTAGCACTGCATCCAGCTGCCTCAGGCCGGCACAGGAGGACTCAGCAAAAGTGGAATTCAGGACTGAATCTTGCCCAGAACCCCCGAATCTATTTGCTGTGGTTGGCCCCTTTTCCCAGCACACACTGTCTCTGGTGGGTGGAGGGGAACCACGCGGGGAGGCGGAAAGGGACAGGATAGAGAGTGGGATGGGGTCCGTTTGGGTCTCAAGGACTGGCTATCCTGACATCCTTTCCTGGCTTCAGGATGGCCAGCAAGGCATGCTGCCAGAGAGCACCCACCTGCCCCTTAAAGAGAGGCCAGGATGTGTGGTGCCTCTGGCTGTAACTCTGTGTACCACCCTCACAGCGCTGGTGACGGTGGAAAGGGAAGAATGACAAGCCAGGGGGCATGATACCAGCATGTGTGGAAGAAGCTTCTAAATTATCCACTAGCACAGGCATGTCCGTGACCCTCCCTTGCCCAAACATATATAGAAACAGGCAGGGACCAGCAGGGAGAGAGAAGGGGACAGGGTATAAAAGGGCCCAGGAGAGACCAGCTCCAGGATCCCAAGGACCCACTCCCCAAACCACGGAGAGTCCTGTGGACAGCTCACCTAGCTGCAATGGCTGCAGGTAAGGGTCACTAAAATCCCTGTCAGCATTACATGTCCTGAGGGGAGAGGCATGCCCTGTAGATGGGACGGGGCCACGAATCCTCAGGTTTGGGCTTCTGAATGTGGGTATGGCCATCTAAGACCAGATATTTGGCCAGTCTCAGAATGTTCCTGGCCCCTGGAGGGAGAGACAAAAAAGGAGAGGCCCCTGAGCAAGAGCACTGCCCTCTGGCTCTCCGGCTCCCTCCCAGGCCCTCTGGTTTCTCCCTAGTCTCCCGGGCATCCCTGCTCCTGACTTTCACCCTGCTCTGCCTGCCCTGGCTTCGAAAGGCCGGGGCCATCCCAACAATGCCCTCATCCTCACTTTATAACTATGCGATGACCCGCGCCAATCGCCTGAACCAGATGGCCTCTGAAACCTACCAGAAGTTTGTAAGCTCTTGACAAATGGATGCATGTCAGGGTGGGCAGGAAGGGGCGACTTTGACTTGCTGGGAAGTAATGGGAGGAGACAAAGCAGCTCAGGATTGTTTTCTGAATCGAAGATGCAGGCAGATGAGCATACACTGAGTGAGGTCCCAGAAAAGGAACAATGGGAGCTGGTCACCAGCATAGAAATTGACGGGCGGTCCTTCTCCTAGGAAGAAGCTCATACACCGAAGGAAAAGAAGGAACTCTGCCAGCATAAAACCAGGACCTCCACTTGCTTCTCAGAATCTATCCCAACACCCACTCACAGAGAGGAAACTCTGCAGAAATCTGTGAGTGGCCACCCTCTCCACCAGCCAGGGATGGGGGAGGCCTGTGGTCAGAGCCCCTGGGCAGCACACTCACTGCC